GGGCCCACCCTGGTGGCCTCAGTTTGGTCTAGGCACCTCCTTAAAGCCCGTCTTCAAATGCAATCACGGTCTGAGGTACTGGGGGCTGGGGCTCCCATGTGTGGACTTGAGGGGGACACAGTTCAGCCCGTAACAATGCCTCTGCTATCTGGAGAAGCGCAGCGTGGCCCCAGTCTGCTGGTTCACTCATGCTGACTCAGCGCTGCCTAACGTTCCAAGGGGTGGGCTGGCCTGGCCTCCGAGGGGGACAGACACATAGTGATAAATCATTATCCAGGAAAATAAGGTGACCCTCAAGCTGAGGCTAAGAGGGGACAAGGAGCCAGCTCAGGATCTGCCACATGTTAAGAAGGCACGTGGGAAAGGGCCCAGTGGGTGGGGTCCAATCGGTAGGAGAGGAGTGGGTGGCAGGACGGGGTTGCAGTGAGACTCCCCTCGGGCTGCTGTGAACTGGGTTGTGACCTGACCAGCCAAGGCTGTGGCTTTGGGTGGTGAGTCAGTGGAGGTGATGAAGGGAGGACCCTGTGCCTGGGCAAGGCTGGAGGACAAGGGTGGGTGGAGAGGGTGGTTAGAGCAGAACCGAGGGGACTTGTGGATGAGTGGATGTTGGGGTGAGGGAGGAGGAGTTGTGGTGATGGCTCCCAACTGTCAAGTGGTATTTGGCTGTGTAGACTGAGTCAGGCCTTTCCTGGGGAATGTGGCCTGTCCCCTGCCAGGGAGGCTGGTCCAGGAAGCCCCAGTGCTGAGTTGGTCTGCAGATTCTTTGTCTCCTGCCTCCTGCCTCATGGTCATTGTGTTTTCTGCTTAAACCACAGAGCTCTGCCCTCAGGCTGTACTTTTATGGGGCTCATGAATTTGGAGGAGGAGAGATCCCCAGGGCCCTGGTGCTGCACTTTCAGTCAGGGCCTGGCTGTGTTTCATGTTCCCGCCTAGGAGGGGGGGAGAGGGGAGGGGGAGAGAGAGGCAAGTCTTCTCACTCTGTGCCTGCCCTAGTCAGAGGGCATCTCTCTCAGTCCATTCATTTGTTCAACAAACATTTATTAAGCACCTACTGAATGTCAGACACTGTTCTGCACCCAGGAATGCAGCAGTGAAAGAAATGCTCCGTCTCCATTGAGCAAAGTTCTCTGGGTGGGAGCAGTGGGCAGCCCCAGAAGACATTGCCTGAGGCCAATGCCTGAGGCCCAGCCACACACAAGCCTCTGGTCTGGGCCTTTTGCATGTCTACAGTTAAATGAGGGTATGATCCATTTAATCTTCAAAGCAGCCCTCTTAGCCTAAGGACCACTATTAAGCTCCTTTTATGGGTGAGGAACAAAGAGACCGAACAGTTTTATCCAAGATCACACTGTGGGCTAGTGGAGGGGCCTGGTGGAAACCCTGACTGGTGACCCCAGAGCCTGCACTCCAGGCTGCCGCGGTGACCTCTGCCTGATGCAAGGGGACCTTCTTCTTTCAACCCGGTAGGTATCATGCACTGGGAAGATAAAGTTGTCTTTTGGGGTAGCTCAAGTTTAAAAGATATCTACAAAAAGGACAAATACCTAATACATTATGAATTACTATGACATAGACCATAATGCCGGAGTCAGGGTAGAATCTGGCCAGTTCCAGGTAAGGAAGAAGGTATGAAGAGACTGCCTAAGAAGGGCAAGAGGCCCAACTCCCTGGGTCAAGGTCAAACTTAGCCAGGAAGCCAGGGAGCCATCCTCCAGCCCCCAGCCTTGATCTCTCTGTGGCCTTTCAGGACAGCAGGTCCAGAGCAAAGGTGCTGCGCTGTGCAGGGATGGGGAGGGGTCAGAAGGGTGGTAAGTGGGTAAAGGTCATGTGCAGGGATGCTCAGTGTCCCTGGAGGCCTGTCCTAACAGGTTCCAGACTTTCGACAGGGCAAGGCCTGGCACCCCGCAGGCATTCTGTAAATGCTCTAGAGTGAAGGGAAGGAGCAACACCAGCAGCCATTGGAGGTGGGAATGAGGACCCAGCACTCCACACCCATTCAGAGCAAGGTGGCAGTCACTCCAGGGCTGTGTTCTTCCAGAGGCCCAGCTTCCTGGGGATGTGGTCACCGACAGCCCCAAGGTTATCGAGGAATCGGGTCCCTGCCATTGGACTGACAGATAAAAGGACACATGTTGTTGTGTTGCAATGAGACAATGTGGGGCAATTGTTCTCAGGTGGTCTTGAGGCCAGACAAAAGCCTATCTCACCGGAAGGATGTTAAATGCCAAGGCATTTTTCTGAAGATGCCATCTCAAGAGGTCTTGGGGAGCCAGGGCTGAGCTATTTGGCTTGATGGAAAGAGCAGAAACCAGACTCATTGTCCCTTTAAGACCAGGAGTGCCCGGTATCATTTCCAGATACCAAACATTTGGCCAAAACTGTCTAGGAATTACAACTAACCAGGGCTGTCCATTTCACGGAGCTCCAACTTAACCATTCTGTGGGTTTGCTGGATTACAGCAAAAACCTCGACTCTCTGCCTGCTGGGGGCCAGACAGGCTGATGGTGTCCACCATCCACCGCCCATGGCAAACAGGTCACTCACGTCCATTTTGGACCAACACATCTCGTTTGCAGCTTGCCCATGCTGGTCTGTTTTGTTGCAAACCCTTACTGAGTAACGACAGGTGCCAGTCCTGTCATCAGGAACTGCTAAAATGGGAACAGCTGCTTGTGAAGCTCTCAAGGGGAAACAAACCAAATATATAAGTAAAGTAAGCAATGTGTTGGATGGTGGCAAATGCAGGGGGGGGAAGAAGAAAGGTCAAAAGGGGACTCACTGGGTCCCCGTATGATTTGATTTGGGTGTTGTCAAAGGCCTTGTGTATTGGACTCAAGTGAGACTCTTAGGGAGTGAGGAGTCCTAGGTTATTGGAGAAAAGGAACAGCAAGGAGGCCCAAGTGGCAAGAGGACAGGGCAGGGGTGGGACATGCAGTTGGAGAGGTACAGGGCAAGTTGAGGAGGGGCACAGCCTGAAGTCTTGTGGAGGAGCAGTGGGCCAGCTGATTGGCAGGTTATCAGACCCAGGAGGGTTATGTGAGAAGAGTCAAGGGTATCACGGGCATTTCCAACTTGAGCAGCTGGAGAGAAAACTGGGAGAGGTGTCTCAGCCACTGGTGCCTGGGGAAGTTGAGGCAGCAGAGGGGAGACCAGAAGAGCATGTGGGGAAAGGTTCATGTCTAGCCAGGGTCACCCATCCTGTGGCACATCCCATCAAATGTCATTCATGGGTATTAGAAATGGCCCATTGCTATACTTTAGAAAAGCTGGTGTAAAATCATTACTTAAGAGCATTTTTTGGAATCCTGTCTTGTACAGTTTGACATTTGCTCCAGGGAGTTTATGAGAGGCATTATTCAAGGCACCTCTGAGGTTGTGATCTGATTTAATCATGGGTCAGGTTTATAGTCAGTGGGCCTTTCTCAAGGTGGCGACAGCCTGTTCTGGACAGTGCTGGGCTCAGGACCCACTTAAGGAACTGTGGTGGTCATCATTCACCTGGGGAGACTTCTTGGCTGAGGGCCCCTAAGAAGCTAAAACAAGTGGCCGGGCTCCTGAGGCATTGCCAGGTAGCCCTCACAGAAATGCCAGGGAGGCTTGGTGGGCACTCAAGCAGCGCACACAGGAGACCAGGCCCCCCACATTTCCCCTGCCCCTGTGCACAGGGGAGAAAGCCATTCTTCCACTCCCCTTTGCTTGGGGGGATTTAGAGAGTCCTTGCTTCCCAGGGTCCAGCCAGAAATCATGGCCATCAATAGCTGGGGCCCCTTGGCTTGGGTGCCCAGCCCAGAGGAGCTCTTTTCTTAGTATTCTAGGATTTGTATGGGGGCTGGGAGGCATAGTTGCTGTGCACCCCAAGGGCTGAGGGTGCCCGTGAGATGCCTTCAGGGCGTGGGAGCCCTGGATGGCCACATCTTTCCCTCCTTGGAGAGGCACTTGGTGTGAACAGCCTGTGCCGAGCCTTCAGCACTCCAGGTCCTGTCCAGGTCCTGCCGGGGAGTGAAACCACACTTGGACCAGCTTGGATGAGTGCAGATCCCTCTCTGAGTCAAAAGCATTCCACTCACTCCTGATGTTTCTGTGCAGCCATGGGGACTGACCACTCCTCAGCCCCACAGTTGCCATGAGTTGTTCCTGAGGTGTCACACTTCTGCTCCAAGGAGGGCCACCAACGTGGGAAGGCATTTTCTAGGACAACTACCCCTGCTAGGATACTCTACCGGCCACAGATAGAGCCCTGCTGTCCCTACTCCATCACCCAGGAGCTGCTCCAATCCTGGACCTGTCTAGCTGGACAGAGCAAGAACTGGACATCAAGAAAACCTGGGACATAGAAGCCCTTGGCACTAAGGGCAAGGGAAACCTTTGGGTCTGCCTCTTCCCTTGATGTCATACAAGCTCTAGTTTAGCAACCGTTTGTGGGGCCCAGGACCAGAAGCAGCCTCTTTTACACTGGGCTGGGCAGGATTGCTGAATGGACATTGTGGGTCCTGAGAGAGCTGGGGTACAAAATTCTTCAGGGCTCAGAAAACAAGTGTGTGTCTTCACTCAGTGCTCAGCACCATGAGCCTTTCCCTGCCTGGTTCCTGGATGCTCCCCCACCTCAAGGGCTGATATCATCCTCGGGGACTGGTGCTTGGCAGAAGGTCAGACAGCAGGACTGAGAGGGTTATTACCAGCTATTCAGAGAATCACCCATTGCTTTAGTTCACTGTGTCTCATTCATGAGTCAGTTCACCACACTAGTATTCTTTTTTTTTTTTTTTAAATCCCTTTCCTTGGCTCTGCTGTGACTTGGCTATGGACTACCTGTGTATCAGACCCCATGCGTTACCAGGAATTTGCCGCCTCCATCAGTGAGATTACATGACCAGAATATGAGCAAACAGACCCTAGACCACAGGTCCAAAGCATTTTCGGAAATCATTGTCTGAGTCACTTCTGACACCGCCACCTGCCTGAAGATTCCCCCCTCACACCCAGGTCACCGCCTGCTTACCTGTAGTGGGCAGTTTGGTTGGATTTATTCTGATGGCTCTTTGTACTTAGCTGTTGAGAAAGATATTTGTCATTTTGCTATAAAACATCAAACACATTATGACCTAAACGATTATGACAGCAGAGGCTTCAACTACAGTCTAGAATTTTAGCATTATTTATGATGCTTAGAGGTCTGGTGCCTACAGTGTCTCCTTAATCCTGTCTAAATCCGGAACACTGTCTCCCGGGCCTGGCCCTGGGTCTCCCAGGGCTGTTAATAACAGCTCCTCCAGGCGCCCTATTTGTGGATGGAAAATCCATCTGAGGCTTTTGCATCTCACGTGGCTGTTAAAAATTGACGTTTCTTTATTGATGTAACTGGTTCCTGCCAAATACTTGGGGACAAATAAAAGTGCCTGGACTCAGAGACAAGCAGAGAACCATTTGTTCGTAGACTTGCCGGCCAATTGATATTGGCAGTTAAGCAAGCTGTCGTTTAAAAGAATCTTGAAAAGAAGAAGTTGACTGTTGTGAGACAGGATCAGAGTACTATGACAAAACCAGGTGACACCGCCTTTCCAAGGATCGGAGCCCAGGTGGCTGGGAGATGCGTCTCTTCTCCGGACTCCTGGCTGCGATCAGGAGGTGCTGGCTTTGCTCGGCCCCTGCTTCCCTCGTGTGTCTCTTCTTGTGGCCTCTGGATTTCCCACTTGCTCTTCTTTCTGCTGAAGATGCCGGAGTCTTCCCACAAGCCCCATCCTGTGGCCGTGTACCCCAGCACTGGCTTCTGCCTTGCCATGCTCCACATCCTCAGTCACTCAGGGAGGGGACTGCCACTGCACGGGCTGCCCTGCTCATCCTGCCATCACAGCTGAGCACTGGCACACAGTAGGTGTGCAATCGTGTTGACCTGACGGATGGTTGCAGTGGCCCCCAGGGCACCCACAGAGTGGGGGGTTGTGGGTACCCCAACCCCACTCTACCCAGGGAGCACTGGCCAGGTCCTTCTTTTCTCTTCACATCCAAACCAAGGTGGGGGGCTTCTGTAGTTTAGATATAGTTTGTCCCCTTCAAAACTCATGTTGAGGCAGTATTGAGAAGTATTGGGACCTTTAAGAGGGATTAATGCTTTTCTCCAGGGAATGAGTCAGGATGGGTACTTCTAGGGGGGTTGCTATAAAGCACACCTGCTGCCTCCCCTCACCCACTGCTGCACACACTTGCCACACTCTCACATGCTCCTGCCATGATGCCACCCACCATGTTATGACACAGCCTGAGGCCATCACCAGATGCAGCTGGCATACTTTTAGACTTGCAGAACTGTGAGCTAAATAAACTCTATAAATTTTCTGGTCTCAGGTGTTTTGCTATAGCAGCACAGAATAGACTAAGAGAAGGGCAGGGAAGTCAGAGGTAGCCTTGGGCTGGTTTAAACTCTGGCCCATCCTCACCTCCCTGAGCCCACACCGGCCTTTTGTCCCCCTTACTGCTTCCTGTAGGCAACCTTCCTCCTCCAAGCCCTCTCCACCTTCCTGTGACATTTGCAGAGTGAGTGTTCAGTGCTGGGTACCAGGAGGTGGGGGATCTGCCGAGAGGGACACCCGTGCCAACCAGCCTTAGACTAGCAAGCATCCTGTGTGGCTGGTGCCAGTGACCCAGCTGGGAACACGAAAGGGAACTGTTTGGAGATGCACTGGGTGTGAGCAGCCTGGGGCAGCTCTCTGCCTGCAGCCCTTGGAGATTCTGACCCTTGGAGATTCTGCTGCTGTGAGTGAGAACTGAGGGTCCTGCAAATAAGAGCTGAATTCACACAGCCTGATGTGACAGCAGCCACAGTAGCACTGCCATTCTCGTTGCATTAGTGGGGCAACCAAGACCAGAGAGGTATGCTGCAAGATCCAGGGTAAGCTGTGCTCAGAACCAAGCAAGGAAGTCAGTTCTGGGGTGGCCCTCATACCCCAGCCAGGCCCGAACCTCATGGTTTTTCATTCTGTGCTCTGGCCAGGGTGAGGTTTGCCCATAACTTCCTCCCTTGTCTATAAACCGCCCCCCCACCCCGACCTCCTGACCACCTGTCCTTTCTGAGGGGCCCTGGCGGAAGTGACAAGGGAGGCAACCTGCTAAGTCACTCACCCTGGGGCCTCTACTTGGCTTCTAGATTCTGTTTTCCATCATGCTAATTACATTTATTATTCATAAACTGCTAAAACCGGCTTCTTGGGCCTCAGTGTTCCAAGCCCCCAGGCTGTCACAGCTGAGGCTCCTCTGTGTCGGGCTGGCCAAGGGTCCCCTGTGGTTTTGAGTCTGGATCAGACACTGGCACAGCCGAGGGGCCTTGGAGTTTGGAAATGAAAACAAAGGATTCCCCAGTGTGGTGGCTTTCCGGCAGCCTGGGGTGGCTGCTGCTTTTTTTTCTTCTGCCTGGAAATGCCGGCTGGACAAGGGAGGGTGGCCTCAGCCACCTCACTTGGCCTCTTCCTATCCGCTGTATGCTTTTGATCTTCCCGAGTCCTTGGGCCTGGACCTGCCCTGGGGCTCCATCACTGTGGAGGCTGATGTCTACTTCCTTTCCTTCTCTCTAGGCTGTCCGCAGATATTTTAGACTGTTCAGTAGTCGAAGGTTCCCAGTGTGCTGTCTTTATCCTTGGCTCTGTAAGCAGGGAGAACCCAGGCCTGTGGAACCCAGCCATGCAAAGGCTGGACCTCGTGTGTGACTTGCTCGGCTTTCCTGCTGTTCCACCTGGATCATTTCTGGCCCTGTTCCCAAGGTTCAGTGACCACTCAGCGGGCACAACCTTTCCCAGCCACTTATGGACACCCCTTGCTAACCCCCATCCATGGTCAAATTCCATTTCTATGAAGTGTCCATCAGTAGGAAAATCTCGGATGTTCCCACCCCTGAGACCAAGGGAAGGCCAAATACACTGTCGTCCATTCGGTAGATGGCACATGGCAGGCAGCCCTCACCCCTGAGGAGCCACTCTGACTCCTTACACTTAGGCTCCAGCCTCCAGGTTCATACAGTGATGGTGTGAAGGTTTCCTCCCTGTCATGAGAAAAGCAGAAAACAAAGATGCAGTGATGGTTGCTGGAAAATGACAGGTAGCATCAAGCAAAGCCAAGCATCCCCTATCCAACGCCTCTGCAGTCCCACTAAGCATGAAGCAGATGATGTGCTCTGTCTGTGGTCCAGGAGAGGTCGGAAGCTGGGGGAAACCCAGCTGGTGGGCAGAGAGATGACAGTAGGTTCACACCGTGAGTACCACCAGGCAGATTGATTGAGCAGATTGTCGTGACACACAAGAACATTGCTGGATGAGTCTCACGATAACAGTGTAGACAATGCAGAATCAAGAAATCCGTAAGAATTTACACATTTTAAAATGTGTCATCCTGGGGCTGGACTTGTGGCTCAGTGGCAGAGCACTGGCCTCGAATGTGTGAGGCAACAGGTTCAATTCTCAGCACTGCATATAAATAAATGAATAAATAAGGTCCATTAACATCTAAAAGAATATTTAAAAAAAAAAAGAATGTCATCCTATTTATAGATGAAGTTTTCAAACAGGAAAAAATGCTGATAAATGAGGAATAGGGAGAGTGGGCAGTGATGGAGCCCACTAAGAGACTAGAAGTCTTCCGGGTCTTGATCTGGGGGTATGTTGGTGGACCCCTGAGGTGTGTGCACTTTATGGGGTAAATGTTATATACCTCAAGAAATAGATTCAGGGCTGGGGTTGTGGTTCAGTGGTAGAGTGCTCATCTAGCATATGTGAGGCACTGGGTTCGATCCTCAGCAGCACATAAAAAAATAAACAAAGTACTGTGTCCATCTAGAACTAAAAAAAAAAAAAATTAAAAAAAAAAGAAATAGATTCAAAGAAAAACTTCAAAGAAGAGCTACTACACTGAAAGTCTAGGCAGGAATACCGCAGCATCTCTTATCCTGAGTGGTTCTCATAACTCCCAAATTTACCGGCTGACACCATGAAATGACCATTTGTGCGCTTTCTGAATTACTCCGTTGCTGATGACAGAAAGAAAATGTAAAGTTAAATGCAATTTAGGGAAGTACCGCCTGGACTGTCTGTTAAGGCCAAGGCCTGAATATTGAGTCTATTAGAAGCAATTATAAAAGGGACAGTGCTTCTTAATGTTTCTCATTTGACAAGAAGGTTTTTAAATATGGGGCATTAGTTAATAAAAAATCCCCAGAAGCCCATTGTAATATATTACCTAATTCCTAACAGTTCAGAGCCACTGGAATAGGTAAAAAGGGGATGTAAAATTAATATATAGTTATTATTAAAATTGCCTTATAAATTAGTTAAGGCCCCTGGAGGCACAAAGTAGGCATCGTGATTCTAAGAGCGTCTCAAGGGCTTAGCTGTGCCCTGTGTGTTTGTGGAGCAGGAATGCCCCCTTAGAGGGCTGGGCCGAGCTCGGCTCTGTGGTTGGGAATGAAACACCTGCTCACACTGCAAGAGACAGGAGCCAGCGGAGCAGGCGGGCTCCAGACACTTCATAAAGAACCCTCTTCCTGGGTTATTGAAGTTTGGCAGGGGGTGGGGTGGGTGGCTGGTGCTTTGAGGCCTTACTGGGCATATTCTGTGCTGGAGGCAAGAAAGACCAGATAGACAGCCCTGTCCACGTGGGTTGGGAGCAACATGAAAACATCTGTGTAGTACCTGAGGTCCTGGGGACCAGCCAGTTTGTCCCAAGCCTGGTGGGGTAGAAACGATTGCTCTGTGGTGTTTTCACCCAAGAAAACCCAGCTGCAAGCAGGATGGGAGGGAAGGTCAGAGGGCAGGCGGGCAGGTTACTGTGGGCCAGCCACATCTGCAGGCTGCTTGAGCTGAGGGTGTTTCTGAGCAATATGTGTATGTGACTCAGGCTGTGTCACGGCCATCATCTCCAGGCTGTGCGTGCTGGGAGCCCAGGAGTCTGGCCTTCCCACCTTTGCTATGCAACTGTGCATTTAATTGGGGGATTTAGGAGCTGTGACTGGAAATCCATTCAGATCTGAGCTGTCTGCTGAATCTTAGTTTTCTGTCCAAGCAGGATTTGGCCAGAGTGATATTTTACCCAGTCTAGGTGATTTGCCTGTACCTGCTGCATCTGCTC